ATAAATTAAAATATATAAATATGATAATTATATTATAAGTAAATCATAAAATTTTCTTATAAGTATTATAAAATATAAATAGGAAGACAGACCTTTGCTCAGAATCGTTTTCCGTATGCAATGATTTATCATTATATTTAAATTTCACACATACTTACATAATAGCGATTTACACAAAATAAACGCTAATGTATAACATATCACTTACAATAAATATTAACACAGTAATTTATTTAATTAAACCTATATTAACACAAAAATAGATGGACAAGTGGGGGTACTATTATGCTGTACAGTAGTTGTCGTGTATGTCATTGTAACGGATGTGTTAGACTCTAATTCAATGACAAATCATTACTTACAAAAACTGAGCATTTTTAGTACCTCAAATATTGATGACAGAAAAATAACACACATCATTGTAAATACAATACATTAATTTACTACACTCAGGATTTAAAATTAGACGATTATTGTAGTAATAATATTTTGTAAAATTGTTATCTATTTTGAATTGTACATATATTTTATATTTTTATATTACACTCAGACTTAAGTAAGGTATCACATTTTTATTTTTCAAAGGTTGATATTCCTCGTCGAGGGACATCAATGACTGTGTAATTATTATTTTCAACCAACATTGTCCCGGGAGACGACGACGAAACCGTTTTTCTAAGACGATTTACAACGCAGAATTGTGCTGGGAATTGTCGTACAAAGATACATTTGCTCGGATATCTTAACATGTCTTGTACTTGACAGTGATCAATTATAAAGTGAGGGAAAATTTATTTTAAACAGAAATAATTGAAGGATAATACAAATGTTCACTGTTAGAAAAATGTATGATACAAATCTGATAGGTATATGTATATTAATATGTTATTTATAAGTTAATTTTAATAGGTACCTTGATTTTCACCATTTTCTGGAAAATCAATGGGTAGTTTAAAAATTGAACAACATTTACATGCCATTTGTATTACATTTTTAATATAAAGAGATAATATGTTTGAATATCTACAGGTCTGCTTTACTTAAATATTTTATTTAGAAACCTTTGAATTACTTAACAAAATTGACTGAATATAATAAAATATTATTTTTAACAATAATATTTTAAACATTTATAATTTTTACAACTTTATACTATATAGTACAGAATACATTATATTATCTAAATCCCGTATTAATATTTGTGATGGGTTAGAAATGTTTGTTAAATTTTAAGTCACATTACGTCAGTTTATGAATATTTCTGCTTTGTTGTGACTTGAACTATAGTTATATTATATTATCATTGTAATTGTGTTTTAGATAAAATCAAAGTTATATTTTATATTAAACCATTAAATAATATATCATGTTGTATTATTATTGTAGTCTTATACTCTTATATAAAATACAACAACCAAATTTTAGTAAAATTATGATATTTTAAATTACAAATCATATTTCAGCATGATTTCAACTTAGTTGAACTTACTGTTAAGTAAATATTATTAAATACTGTCATACATTTGTAGTTTCATTTTCCATAGTCAATTATTTATCATTCCTAATTAAAATATCTATAATATCTATATATTATTTATATATTAAAAAAAATTAAATTTACAACTTTCAAATTACATAATATTATGTTTTCTTACTTCTAGGAATTACAATATAATTGTTCTATTCTTCATGAGCTAAACTATAACAGATATTAAGATTGGTACATTAATTTGTCTATGAGGGGAGGGGGTAAGTTTGTTCATACGTAATAATAAATAAAATATAATATTAATTGTTAACTTGGCTTAATAGAATTTGTTATAGTAGTGACTTTTTTTTCGTATAACCACTTTCAATTTTAGATTCTAAATAAAACGATGAATGTATTGATTTTACAATGATGCCATGTGTTTTTTAATTTTTTAATTTTTTTATTAATTTTTATTTATTTTTATAATTTTTTGTGTCTGTCATCACTTTTTAGGACAGTAAAAGTGCTTGGATTTTCTTCAACAGTATCTTTTCTGATAGAAAAGTGAATCTAGTTGGTACTTTAGGAGGTCAAAAGTAAAAATTTCTCAGTAGTTTTCAAAATCGCAGTGAAAAACAAAAGAAAAATTAAGGAAAACGGGAATTTTTACGCAAAATATGTTTTCGAAAATATCGATTTTGGTTTTTGGTGCAACTCTTAAACAAATTACAGTAGGTACATGAAATTTTGACTAAATGTTTATATTAGCATTTTCTATACACCATAACATTTTCCAAATATTTTGAGCTATTTACGGACATTTTCAGTTTACATTTTTTTTAGTTTATTTTTCTATAATTAATATCAATAAAATTTAATAGAAGGCTCCTAGTACAATGTTTCAAAGGTAGATGAAAAAAATTTAAAATCCATAGCCACAGTTTTTTTTTTATAAGCATTTAAAGTTCAAATATTGACAAAATACGTAAAAATTAAGAAAATTTGGAAACTATTTTGAGTTAGAAATTTATAAAAAATTTTCTTTTTAAATCTAAGCTTTTAAAATGTAATACAAGATTCCTTATAAGATTATCTACCTTTATCAAAAAAAAATTGCTATAAGAATGTCAAATTAAATTTTTATTAGCGTTTGAATTTCATATTTTTACGATATTGGATATTCATACGATTTCTCATAAAGCGATTTTGTTATTTTATTGTTATTCAAAAATAATGACTGTAGATACTTGAAAATTTCACTGAATGTTTATATTAGCATTTTCTATATGCGATACAATTTTAAAAATAATTTGACTCTTTTTGAACTGTTTAAGGACATTATCAGTTTTAAATTTTTTTAGTTTTTTTTCTATAAATATCAATAAAATGTTATAATATGTTAGGTAAAAAATCGTGACAATTTAATGAAAGGCTCCTGATATTGTTACAATAGCAGTGGCAAAATATTAAAAAATACATAGGCACAAATTTTTAAAATGTTCAACTTTTATAGCTAAGGATTGAAAATTTAAAACAAGGTAAATAGGCTATATATAAATTACTTTATTCACAATAATATCACCAAATATACTTTGTAATATCGTAGGCTGACTGACCGTTTTCGCTCAGAATCGTTTTTCTTATACAATGATATTATATCATTGAATTCAAATTTAACACCATCCATTACAGTGACCCACTGTACAGCAGAGCTACTTTTTTATATAATAATTTATCATAATATACTTAATTAAAATGTCCATGAAAAACCAGGGGGACTGAATGCCCCTGGTCCTGCCCCCTCGGGATGCCTGTGTTTACCGTATTGACATATGCATTTTACTGTGGGTAGATAAGTAAGATGATTTTATTTAATTAAATGTGGGCGGTTGACGTGCAACACGATAAGATTACAACATGGTATTTCATACATAGACATAAGATTACTTCCCTCTTTAAATTTAAATTACAAAAACACTATAATGAAATTTAAGCATACCATTTATTTAAACAGTATTCGGTGTAATAAAGTATTTTATAACAGTTTATACAATTTCATATTTATGTTCAATGTTATTATTTCCTAATGTTTAAAATACTTATTTATTATATTATTTATTTATTATTTTATTTATTATTATTATTATTATTATATTGTACTCAAGTGGCTCTGGATGTAAATTTTAATTTTAAAAACTTTCTTTTATTTACTTTTTATGAATTAATGTGATTCGTTTGTCAATATATTTTACTGAATTATAATACATTTCACCTCGACTATTGCCCGATCAAATAATTTTGAGCTAAACGTTTTTTTTTAGATAGTGAATAATGAATAGGTACTACCTATTATGATTTCCATCTATTTGTTTTCTTCTATGCTACTCGGTGGTTTTAAGTTTTAACATTAATAGGTTTTTCGGTTTAAATTTGAGACCGAGAAGTCGATAATAGATGGACAACAACCTGTTAAAGTTGTTGATATATTATGATACAATTCTAATATATTATTAATTTTTCGTTGAATTCTCTTTAAATCTCGTTCTACACACAAATTATTTATCAACAGATTTTTTAGTGTTTTCCACTTAAGCATTACACTTCCACTGATGTTTTTGAATCTGGAGATAAGTACGATCATTTTATAAAATTGTTCTCACGAAATTTTCTAAATTTTTAATCGGCTCAAACGGACGACCGTTATAATATCTTGTATAGTAGTATCTGGAGAACCAAAAGTACTAAAATAATTTCTCAATTGTTCAATGAATTTTGTAGCAGTTGTACTTCTTCTCATACTAAAACACTCAATCCATCTCATTTTTATGTGGTTCCACACATGTGAATATGCGATAAGATAACAATATGATATATTATGATAAATGTCATTACTGTTGTGTTCTTTATTATGTGTAATACAAACGAATATAGTTAATGTTCTCTAATAATTTATGTACTTTATTAAGTTTACAACCACTACGTGAGATGATACATACTGAGATGAGCGCTAATACTACATATTATAATAATTGATAAGTGATAACATAATATAGGTACCAGGTACCTACAATGTACATATGTGATTTACTAAATAGTAGTAAATACATAACAATAATATACCAAATTAAAAAAAGGTGGGTAAGTGGGGAACGCTCTACTGTATAGTAGGTTATAAGTGGGTCACTGTACTGGTTGGTGTTAAATTTGAATTCAATGATATAATATCATTTTATAAGAAAAATGATTATGAGCGAAGACGGTCGGTCAGCCTATCCACGACTGTTTTCTTCGTCCTTAATTCTTAGACAAACAAAATATGAAATATATGATTAAAAAAATCGTATTCCTTTCACTGTTGAATAATTGTACATACTATTCGGAGAAAAAATATAAATAACCAATACTATACGCATAACCGTGGTGGCCTTTGCAGTCACCTCGAAGACCTCAGTTTAATAATAATATCAATAACGAATAACGATTGGGTGTGAGAAGTACCTATATACTATTCGTTTCGTCTGCAGCGTGTATGGGTTACTTGGTATGCGGTAATTGGATCGGATGGTCGTCGCCGGCCACCTACCTGATGAAGCACAACAAGACCGAATTGGACGTGACCAATTACGGTATGATGATCGCCATGTACGACTTGGGCAACCTGATCAGCCCCATACCGTGCGGTTTTTTGCTGGGATTATTGGGCAGGAAGCTGACGATCTGCGTCATCGGACCGTTAAACATGATCGCCTGGACAGCGATTCTCGTGTGGCCTTCCCGGTTGGATGTGCTGTACGCGGCCAGACTGTTCGCCGGACTGGCCAAGGGGATGACACTGTGCTCCATACCCATATACGTGGGTGAGATAGCCGAGGTCAAGTTGAGGGGTACCGTGTTGTCTATGTTTCCGATCAGTTTGGCGTTGGGCATGATAGGCATACAGTCCATCGGCCAGGTGCTCGATTACCAACAGCTCAACATGCTGGGTCTGTCGTTCTCGACCGTGTTCACGGTGCTGTTCTTATTCATGCCCGAGAGCCCTTACTACCTGATGCAGAAAAATCGGAGGGATCAGGCCGAGAAATCGCTCAGGCGCATCCGAGCCAAGGGCGACGTTACGGACGAGCTGGAGATGATCGAGAAGACGGTCGCCAAGCAGATGCAGTCAAAGGCGACGTACGGTGAGTTGTTCATGAACAAGTCCAACCGGAAGGCTTTCGTCATTACGGCGGGGGCTTGCGTGTTTCAGAGGCTGAGCGGCATTAGTCCGGTGAGTATATCGTGATACATTTTTGGTAAACATTATTATACGATTATATAATCATTATAAAATTGCGCAAACGGTAGATTGGAAGAGGAAAAGCCATATTTTACCGGTAGAACATGCCCGATACGGCTACCAGTGGCGTATATAGAGGTGGGCACAGTGGGCTGCAGCTCTTCCCCCCCGAAATGACGGTCTTTTTAAACAGAACAACAATATATTTTATTAGGTACTATTATGAGTTATAATCTTAGCCTGTTGAAAAATAACAAATACGAATATATTTATAGAAACTGTTAAATATATAGTAGACAGTAGCCTCTAAATAATAGATCACTTGCTGGTTTCTGTCTACTATAGCCCACCCCAAAAATTATTTCTCTATACTCCACTGATCGCCACCACCTGATTTTTTAGAGTGTGTATATTATATTGGTATATAATATTCATTAAAATTAAGATACGTCACCCTCGGTTTTCCATTGAGGCTGACTAACATCATAGTTACCCGTTAGCGAGTAATGTAAAGCATTTAATATGATGATGGACTTGTAAATTTGAATTTGTATATTTGCAAGCAGTTCATCATTTCGGGTCCGCACCTGCAGCTGCTTACTCGTTTACTGCCATAATAAATTATGATAATATTATAAAAAACGAAAAACCCCTAGATAGAGATTTAGCTGAGTAGGTAGTAGATTTAGGTAGTTTCTTCTTTCAATTCTGAGGGCTAAGTTAAAATTTACTTTTTTAATGACACTGTTTGCCAAATTTGAATTATTAAATGCATAGCATAATATTTAGTGTGTCTATGCAATATGCATTAATTTCTGTTTTATTTAATGTTCAAGCATTCATATTAAATCTAAATATTTAAATTCTTCTAAAATGTTTTCTTTAATATTTCACTAAATAATAATGATGACAATAATATGTTTATTCATATATTTTTTTTATATTTATATTATTCATGTTTAACAGTATAATAGTAAATAATGCTATTCTATAAATCAGTTAGGTATTAATAATATTATTAATATATATTGTTAACAAGTTGATGTCTTATTATAATATAATACCCACACCGTATAGGTTAGAAATTGTTCATAAGCTAAAAATACGTAAATAGGTAATGAAGAGTTATTAATAGTTTTTGTTATTTAACTATAGACTTTTTCCTCACATTTTTAATAATTAGATATTATAGGTACAATATATTTTCATAGTTGATAGGTATTTTAGTAAAATAATAAGTTATTTTGTTAGACGGTAACTCACTCCTTCACCACAAGCTATTAACATAAAACAGTAGATTTATTTTATTGTTTTTATTATATATGTCATAACTGTATTTTAAATAAATAAAAGCATCCAATCAAAAAAAAAATAACATTATCAGTTTATATAAATATTTTTTATTTTTATAGATTTAATATAACACATAATGATCAACATACTTTTAAATTAAGTTGAAAAAAAAATAAAAGTTTTTGGGAGATTAACTATTAAGAAACTACAGCTAACATCCTCATGAGTCATGGTGCCTCTTGGGTAACGCTAATAGGCTCTAAAAAGTAAAATACCTAGTAAAAAAAAAAAAAAAAATTGTTTAAAAACTTTTACTCAAACGACCAACCAATTTTTTACCTAAGGTATTAATGATGCGTAAACGACAAACTCCAATTAATTTATGGTAGCTGAAAAAAATTGTGTAACCACCCAACCGTTCTCGCATTTCACAGGTAAAAATATCGTTATGTGTACCCAAAAATGTTACGGCCATAATATGTTGTGGATAATATTATGAGTTATATAGATTTGAAATAATATACTAATATACTATTATAGTATAAACTTATGTGGGTAGATGAAAAACAGCGGTAAGGGGGGAAATTAGTGGTGTAGTTAAATTATTTAAATTTGAAATTAATATTACCACGGTAAATACAGGTTTCTGAAGATGAATTTTGATTCGTCAGTCGTCATAGTTTCTGCAAATGTTTTCTTTCTGGGCTGGTTAGGAGAATTTGGAAAGACTGGAACCTATTGGATGGAAATTTTTTTCAGTAGAAAGAAAAGATTTTTACTTATCGTAGATGATAAGTTGTACCTTTTTAAAAGATTATATTTTATCTTATTAAGTATTTAAAAACAATCTATTTCGAAAAAAAAATTATTAAATTTTTAGCGAAACCAGAAATTATTTTCACAATTTCTCAAATAAATGTAGGTGCCTACGTATGGATTAGTAATCGAAAAACATACATCTACGATTTAAGTGATTTTTAACATCGCATCGCATCACTATTACACGGTTCATAATGTACCTACCTAGGTGTATAAAATATAATGTGAAAAACACATTATATTATATTCATGACGTTTTGACATAACATAATATCCTTCAGGTGCATCCCCGCAAGGGCGTAACGTTATGTTCATCTTGAAATTCGATTGTACCCTATATTTTATACAAATTTAACTGTAATATATTTTATATTTAGACAAGGAACTACACCCCGGTGGATAATTCAAACATGACGTATAGTTATTAATAATTATATTTTTTATTATTTGTATTTGGAAATATTTTTAATGAGTATTAGTGATAATATGCTAACAATGATTTGTACTCTTTGAAAGATTGTTAACATAACCTATTGTTTCAAACCCGTCCGAGGTTTGTTTATGAAATCGAGTAAAATAAAAATAAATTATTAAGCACCCTCTCCCCCCCCTGAAAAAAAGCCAATCTCTACAAAATGTTCTGTCATAATAATATTATTATCATCACACATAATTTTTAAGTCGCGCATAATACTATAATTGAATCGGTCATTTGGAAAAGGCCATATATCTGTCGAAGCCACTTCGTGAAATCGATCTTTTCATGAAAAGATGACCATTTCATGAAATGGAAACGGATATTTTACACTTCGTGAAATTCGAAAATATTTCACAAAATGGTCTCTTTTTCATGAAATGGTCACTCCAATTCAACATCGTGTAATTTATTTCACAATCTGGTCGTCCACTTTGTGTTCTGGAATACAAAATTCACTACACACGTCAAGTTTGATTACCTATATCCATTATTATTTATTTAATATAAAAAAAGTTACGTTGCTTGTAACTCTCAACTTTTGTGAAGTAAAGTGATAAAAATAATGTCGGGTAACGTGAATGTAATGTAAATAAAAATATTTATCGACTCAATTGTTCAGGTATAGTACTATAGTGTTATGGTTTTTTACCAGGCTTATCAAAATAATATTTATCCTTTTTTTGGTAAAACTCAGTTTTTTCATTCAATTCATCCATTACCTACGTAGAAGCATGTAGAATAAAAACCTTTAGAATAGAATATTATCGAATGATCCACACAGCAACTATACACTGATTTAACATCAAGGTAATACCAAAATGCTGATATGACATTATTATTATGACTTTTATAGTTTTATCCAGGGCCGGTTATAGGCGTAGGCGACGTAGGCACAAGCCTACGGCGGCACAAAATTTATAACTATATAGAGGCGGCATATAAGAAAAAATCAAATATCTAAGAGGCGGCAATTTTGATCTTTGCCTACATATAAAAAATTGCTTGCGCCGGCCCTGGTTTTATCAAAACCAATAAATATCATCTACACATTTCAGATAGTCTGGCAATTAGGCAGGTATAATCGTCATATGGAATACAGAGTAGGTATATTAATTATTTTATTTAACGTCGGCACGCATAGGCGCACATAGGGTGTGAATTTAGGGGGTGCTGGGATAATTTATGGTTCACAGATCCGTGGGGGGCTTTGCCCCCCACACCCCCCTAATCCTAATATTTCTGCATTGCATTAGATTTAATTTGTATAGTGTATACAATAATTTCTAAAGTGCAATGTATCAAATAGTCTGTATGATTGTAAAGAAGACGCTAGGTACACCCACATGTGTTGTCTCCGTATTACAGACGTAGGTACAACATAGGCAAAACTGTTTTGCACGGGTATAAAAAACATTCAGTCTCTACTCTAAGCTAAGAAACTAAATGTTCACACCAGTGGCGCCGAACTATTTTTTTTTTAGGTGTGGCAATGAACAATTACTTATATAGCCACCTCCCCCATTGGATATTGGCTATTAGAACTAAGTCGTGAGAGCAACCTCCGCCCCACCAATTTTTAATCTAAAAAATATTTTCACAAGTTATAATATTTACCGCATTATGTCTACAATATAGCATTATTTAATATTTTAACATATTACAGTTAAGATTATCTCCAGTAAAAGCCTCCTCAAAATGAAAATCAAGTTTTTATCATCTAAAAACGATATTCACAGTCACTGATTTAGTTATTTAAGCTTTTAGCTAGGTAGGTACATCATATCATTCAGTAATAAATAGAACTATTACATTTTTTTTCTTATACCCATGTAAATATATGTATATTATTTGGTTAATGGTTTGCATAATATTTTTTGAGTATAATGTACTATAGTAATACCTATATTAAATAAAAATATAAATAATTGCTGTAGTTTCAATTCCAATGTAATTTTCACCTGATTTTTATATATTCCTATACATATAATAGCATAATATTGGTAAATATAGGTAGCTATCTAGATGATGTTATAAAGTTATATTTATATTACAATTTACAGCTATTTAAGTAACTCATTTTACTAATAGTAAAATATTGCATTATAAAACGTCTAATTTCGTCCAAGTTTCAACTTAAAATTTCTATAAAAAAAACTGTGCTTGTATATTTTTTAGATTTTTGGTAACAGTATTACCCACTCATGAGAAATCTCGTTTTGAATGTCCGATCTTTAGCTATAAAAATTGAACATTTTATAATTTTTTAACCAAAATAACGTTCGCGGTATATTGACTAATTTTGTAAAAATCTGTACTTAAAATGCTTACAAAAAAAAAATAATCGTACATAATGTATCTTCATTATTTAAAAATTGCTATTATAACAACTTATGAGGAACCTTGTATTAATTGTTTA